CAAAAACGATAAAGTTTGGACGACGCAACTCTCAGTCCTGACTCGATGTTGGGCTGCGACCTGCTCTTTGTTTTGTATCGACACCACAACATAGAATCGAAGTTTACATTGTTTTCTCGAATTCCCGAGCCGCTTCGCAAGCCCTCGCCGAATCTGTAGCGACTCACACCATTCAACTCACACTGCGTGGTGCACGTTAAAGATCTAAGTGGTACTGCACTGGCTACATTCTCATCTACAACTGAGCAGACTCCCACTGGGGCTGACGAACTTCCGGCTCGCTAAACATGCACACTACACAATTGCAGTTTGGGATCACCATGTCCTCCTTTTATGGCGTTTTCTTTTTCTTGTTGTTTTTAAAGTTTTCCTCGCTGTTTTAATTTTTTTTCCCTTTATTGTTATAGTTGTTGTCTTTCACAAGCGTGTAGTGTGGCCGGCGGAGCTCGCGGCGCGGCGCAGGTGTCTGGCATGTGGCAGAGCCGTTTATCGAGAGAGTTTGGCCATACGTTGGTTTGAATCATAGAGTTATTATAATGTACGCTAGAGGTTCAACTGGCGCTAGTGTGCTGCTGCAAATTGAAGCAGACAGCAACCAGTCTGAAAATGACTTCCGGTAATGCATTTCTATGGAAAAAAGCGCACGCATATTCTCTCTGCGCTCGATTATATAAGTAAATATTGAGAAGAAATCAAACCTGACAAATAGTTTATAGCATTTCTCAATCACATATACAAATAATTGTCATTTACAGAGGTTTTTTCTGTCGATTTCATGGCATAAAGCAGAGTGCTAAAGTAGCTAAATATACGTGTATAATACACAATTATGTCAGAGATCGTTGCCCCAGCCTGCGTATTTACCGTGGTACTTACCCATGAAAACGCAACCGAACGTCATATACAGTTAAATAAACTGCTGTCAGCCTCCCAGACGAAGGCGACACTAAATTGTGTCACGTCAGAAGAGCAGACGGCAAAAAACGGGAACAGCTCCAATGGCTCAATGTATCGACTCTGCAAATAAAGTTGTTTTTTTTTTTTCTTCGAATGCGTGAATGCGAAGATCGTCTTGTGGCATCGCTCAATATATGTTCATATGTTCCAAAACATTAAAAAATACCGGGAGGCACGGGCGCCTACACTGTACCCCTTACCTGGGGGCCCGGTGGCTACCGGTGCGCGATACGGCAGGGTAATCAAAGGCGACCGCAACTAATGAAATAATAATAATATTAATACCGTTTGTTAGCGCACATAAGTTTTCTGTTTCGCCCCTTTTTTTTTCGTTTCACTGAACGCAAACTTTTCCAAGGAGAACAGATCCAATAAAAATTACATGAGGTCTGTTATGTCGTCTGCTTTCTGCTTTCCCACTCGCGCGGTTAAATTTGATCGCGGCAAAAGCGCTTCACGTCGCTAAAATACGGGAATGCCGAGGTTGTGTGCAGCTCTGGATTGCAAGAACCGTGAGGGAAGAGCCTCAGGATTATCATTTCACACGTAAGTAGTAATCAGGTTTATTTAATTACTATATATCACTAAAAATCAAAACTATAGCGCGCAACCGCTGGTACATATATGGCCTGCACTGCAGCACTTCATTTGATATTCCAGGTTCCCTAAACAAAATGACAACCTTCTGCAGAAGTGGTTAAAAGTATGTCCGGACAACTTCACTCCTGCCGCACATCATGTCCTTTGCTCACGGCACTTCGAGCTCCAGTGCTTTAAGGATGGGTTGTATGTGAAAGCAAGACTCAAGGAAGATGCAGCACCCACCGTTAGTTCTGTCAAGGTATGTACATATATACTGAACTGCAAGTAGATTGAATTCAGTTGTGAATATGATGCATGCTTTTCTAAAATTTGAGCTTCATGCATTATTGTGGTAAATGCAAAAATAATGTATAGCAGCAGAGGAGTTTGTAATGTCACTTTTATTTCCAGTCGTTAGATCATATACATTAGAACAAAGTGTGTATGTGTTAATGTATACCTACTGGTCTCTTTCTTATAGGCACCAAGGAAGCGTCCAGCACCACGGATTGCCGATGACGCAGCACCAAGACCATGCTCAAGTGACCACACCTACTTCGATGGAGAGTCCCCAAAAAGTAAACGACGTCGTATGAACAAGAAAATAGATTCGGCAAAAAAGAAAATTCACATAATGCAATGGACCCTGAAAAGAAACAAACGAAAAGTTAAAAATCTCCAATCTTTTTTGGAATGTCTGAAGGAGGAGCATGCACTGACAGATGAACTTCAACTAAGATTGGAAGCATTTGGAGAAATCCCGCAGGAACTACTGAAGGGCTTTAGAAAAAACGCCACCAGGAAGATGACTGGCAGAAGGTACACCAAAAGAACAAAGCAGTTCGCAGCCACCCTGCACTACTACTCATCCCAAGCCTACGCCAACGTCAGCACGCTCTTCCCCCTACCTTCTGTGAGCTCCCTCAGGTGTTGGTTGAAAGTTGTTGGAGGGTGGCCTGGATTCACCAAGGAGGCACTAGGAGAGCTGCAGCGACGACATGAAAACTCTTCTGAACGGGAGAAGCTGTGTGTCGTCATGCTGGACGGGATGTCCATAAAAAAAGAAATAAGCTTGGATGTCCCAAAAGGCAGGTTCATCGGGTACGTATATTTCGGCCAAGCACTTGGCCCAGGCGAGACTGACGAAGTGCCCATGGCAACAAAGGCCTTGGTTTTCATGGTCGTAGGCCTCGCTTCATCCTGGAAGATGCCATTCGGCTATTTCCTGACCAATGGGGTGTCGGGGTTGTTTCTTAAGAGCCTCCTTGAAGAGAGCATCGTCGCCCTTGAAGATTGCGGTCTTCACGTCAAGGCCGTGGTGTGCGATGGACTGGGTGCAAACGTCGCCATGGCAAAGCTGCTGGGCTGCCATGTTCATGAAATAAGCTATGAAAACATGAAGACGACATTCGAGCACCCGACTCGACCCACCGAGGAGGTGCATTTCATTTTCGATGCCTGCCATGCCCTCAAGCTTCTCCGTAACCTGCTTGGAGACAAGAAGGTGCTGAAGTCAAAAGCTTATGCGGTAAATAGTAGCTAAATTGCTTTTTAAAACATACAAGTACCACTACATCAGAAAAAGAAGACTGACTTTGAACCCCGAGAACCGAAAACAAGCACAAAGCCACTAAACGGAGTGCAGGTTCAGCCTTTATTTATTATGTTCCAGTTTTGACGTGCAAAATGCAGTTGTAAAGCAAACATTTGAAGAAATCTGGTAAAACAAGTACCAATTAACCATTTTGCATTGCATGTGTATACATTTCATGCACTTCTTAATGCGATGCCAACCAACACACTAATGTCAAACGTGCAGACTCTTTGAACCTGACATCACAATTTTATAAAATGAACCTAATGTAGTCACAGAAAAAGCAGTCTGAAACAAACTAAAAAGTATGTAGTGCCCTGCTCCTAGATGACAAGACGAACTAGCTTAAAATTAATTAGTGACATGTCAAAAGAGATTATAAATTGCAGCACTATACACAAATAGGTCAGTGCTTGTGCAGTAGCCCATTTTCAAAATTCACAAATAGCCAGAGGCATGCTAGGAGTCAGGATCCACATGCTCTGTGCTAGCCACTTCAGATGTAGTAAAGCTTTAAAAGAAAAATCTAAAACAAAATGCTCTTTGCAAGCACTGCATTAGTTTAGTAAGTGATATAGAATACATATTCAGGAAGATTACAAGAGACCAGAGCAGTTGACGTGAGGGCACTGACTCTAAATGTGCCTCTACACCTTCATGCTAATGCTACCAAATAAAATGCTCCAGTTGATATAATTATGTTCTTTCCAATGGTTATTACTTTGCAGCACATCCAATGGCACTTCATTGAGCAGCTGCACGAGCTGCAAACATCTGAAGGCCTTCGTGCTGCCAACAAACTCACACAAGCCCACATCGACTTCTGCCGACAGAAGATGAAGGTCAAGTTGGCTGCTCAAACCCTCAGCAGTTTCGTCGCCAAGGCCCTTCTGTTTGCCAAAGAGCTTGGGCTCCCAGAGTTCAGCAACTGTGAGGGAACGTGCAAGTTCATCCAGGACATTGATAGGTAGGATCTGAAGTCCATTGTTCGTGCTTATACTATAGTGAGGCTGTACTTAATGTTCCATGTGTTAATTGTGGAAAACAACGGTTTTGCATGTTACCCAGGTGTTTTGATCTGCTAAACTCACGGAGTCCTGTGGCCCATACCTACAAGCGTCCCTTCAACAAGGCCAACATCCAGGAGAGGAGCCAGATGATGGAGCGGGTTGGCCAGAACCTCATGCAGCTGGAGCTACCCGGCGGACAACCTGCAGCGACAGACGGCAGACGCATGTCTGTCATTGCGTTTGCCTTCACCCTGAAGAGTGTGGCAAGCCTTGCAACTCAACTGCCCACCGGTGGTGAAATCAGGTTAGTGCAAGTGAAAACAGTAACTATACTCCATCGCATTTATAGTCTGCTGTAAGTTAAGTAAAGCAGAAAAAGACCATTCCAGAAGCTCTGCACTCACCAAGATTGCTGGTTTTCTCTTCTCCACTCGGCTCCTCCCCCAACGTTCATTCTGCTAAGGTGAAAAAGGTGGCGGGCTTTCTTGAAAGAGTTTGTTCTGCTTCTCTTAACTTGCAACAGACTATTGAGCACAAAATTAATGTTCCTAAACAAATTGTCTTTTCTCATGCCTTCCTCTATTAGCTACCTGTGCTCCTACCGGACAAGCCAGGACCACCTGGAGATGTTTTTCAGCTGTGTGCGGCAAAGGGGCGGCTGGAACAATAACCCATCAGCTGCTCAGTTCCGGCAGGCCTACAGGAAGCTGCTGGTACACGCTGGTGTGCAAGCACCCAACTCCGCCAATGTGGCTGCTGACCTCGAAGGGGAAAGCCTGACAGTCAGCCAGGGTACCATCAATCCTGCTCTTGATGCTGGGGACGACCAAGAGGGTGATGATCTGGCCGTGGTCTATGGGGTGGGCGAGGATACCCTGTCAGAGTTCACCTCTGAAGTTGTGAAATACATTGGGGGCTTCGTCAGCCGCCAGGTCACCAAGACGCTGAGCTGCCCATCATGTGTGAGTATGCTCCTGGATGATAGCTTAACAGAAGTCCTTATTACCATCAGGGACAATGGCGGGCTTGTGTACCCTTCCGAGCTTGTTTGCCAGCTTCTGCAGGAAACAGAAAAAATCTTCAGAGTGGCCACTGAAGTTGGAACCGCTCAAATCAGTGCAACTGTGTTGACCATTCTCGCATACAGAGCGTTTTACGAAAAACATGCAGAGAGCTTTCAGAACCAGGCGCATGTCAATGACGAGCCAATGCATGCGGTGGCACTTGCCAAGGCAGTCATCAAAAAATATGTCACGCTGCAGTTGCGACACTTGGCCCGCACCATTACGGAAAGTTCCCGTGGAGTATATGTGCGGCATACCTTGACAAAACGAGTCCTCTTTTGCCACCAGTAATGTGGCACCCTGAAACCATGCCTTCTTCTTTTTTTTCTTTACTCAGCTTGTATGCATTTTTCTCTTGCTTTGTTCCTTTATTCATATTGTACTAGAACTTGCAGGTGGATGTAAATATATAATGTGGAACAACAATTTATATGCAAGTTCTATTCATGTGCTGTGTATCTCGCAAGTCAGTTTTCTTTTATCGATCGTTATGTTAAATGTTTAACGTGTGTGATATGCTAAAATGTGTATTAATGTTCTAGTTTGTTTCTCCTGTTGTCTTTTGCCGGGGTGTTGTTGTACATGCTTTTAAAACCATGCGGTGTAACGCGATGCCTGTATGTATTCTGCGCGGCACGCTTCCCTTTTCAGCTTCTCTAATGAGCAAATATATATATATATATGTACATATTTACTGTTCCTTCTTCGCGCCGAGTGTCATTAAACGTCATCACAAATCACGCACGGTGTTACGCCTAAGTCATTTCATATGAAAATTCGTTCACGAAGGAAAGGAAAAAAAACGATATTACTTGCCTGTGCACGCCGTGGCTTTCCGAGTGTCGTTTACGCAGATCAAGGCGCAGTAAACCGCCTGCATCGAAGATTTGTGTTGCATTAGCACGACGCCCAGGATTGCAAACAGGGATGCGGGTCGTGTTCCTCGGCATGCTTCCACGCCTTCCTCGTTCGCAGTCCAGTGTTGGCTGTTTACTTCATCGCCAAGAGCAAAATCAATCACACACGCCGAAACTCCGGTTCGGGTTTCGGCGATACTCGATGTTGGCGCACCCGGAACACACTCTAGGCTCCTTTCAACTTATTTTTGTTTAGATGCGCCAATGCCTTTAAAAACCCGCTGTGGGACATAGGCATAAGCCTGAAATATAGTCGAGATAAACATCCGTCACTGGACAGAGAAAAGTTATAACTAAAGCAATTACACTTTTACAAAGTTAATAAAAGTACATACTATTCGGTACGACCGAAATAATAAGCGTAATTCGTGTTGTTTTCCGGCGAAAAGAGAAAATGCACGCGCGTTTTCCCATAGAAATACACAGGAAGACTGGAAAAGTAGACTGGTTGCTGTCTGCTTCAATTTGCCTCCCGGAAGTCGCATAGACACTAGCGCCAGTTAAACCTCTAGCGTGGATTATAATAACTCTATGGTTTGAATAGGCGAGCGTCTCGGGGCCAACCACAGGCCGCGAAACAGCCCCTAGCGGTGGTCGTGAGCTCTAGATTTGTGACACGACTAATTGAAGCCGTTTTAGCGTCGCTAGAGTTAAAAAGGTGTGACTCTCAGTGACTGAAAACTTTGTGCGTGCGAGGTGTTTGTCACGCCAATATTCAAGTGTATAATAAACGAATGTGCGCTCCAAACCAGGACCAGCTTGCTAGAAACAGCGTCTCAGCTGAGACGGTGAAAGAAAGCACTGCCAAAGCCAGCGCACGAGCCGAGCGGGACTCCGCGTCTCCAGACGCTCGCGCGCCCCACCCTTTGCACTGTTTTCTTTCCGCCAGTCACAGGACGTTGTTCTAACAAGCCAACATCAGCAGTGCAGAGAAAGGTATGGGCACGAGCGCGTGGCTTTGGAAAGTGGCTCCTATGCACGAGTTCTCGTACAAACAGAAGCGTTTTGCTGAGCTAGGTTCACGCGCCTGTACTTTTGTCTTCACTGCCGACATTTGTGAGATGGAGCAGAGAGGCCGAGATTGAACGCCTCTATTTCACGCTTTGAATGTCGTTTGCAATATTGTGACGTCGCGGTCTCCTGATTGGTTGACGCTGTGTCACAAATTTAATTTACACTCAAAGCGCGGGGGGGTATTCGGCGCTGGCGGCGGCCTTTGCTCCGCCTATACGCCTCGCAAGTGGGCTCATTTTCGTCTTCTGCGCATGAGAAAGGAAATAGCGGTGACGTCAGAACGCCGAGCCCTGATTGGCTGATCGCGACCCCCTATCCGAGCGTCGTCTGCTCCTTTGCAACGTCGTCTGCTCGCAACGTCGTCTGCGTCTGTCTTACCTTTCCTGCGACTTTTGGAAGTGCAGGTCTTTACGAGCGAGCTCGACTTCGCCTTTCAAAGAGGGCAGACGAAATAACTCGAGCGGTACGTTGTTTTTGTCGTACAACTAGCAGACGCGTATCAGGGAGAGGACTCACTGGCGATGTGTCTGATGTGCCGAGGTGCGTTTGCAAGGAACCGAGAGTGAGGGTGATTAGTGTCCGCAAGTTCCCTCCCAAATACTTTTTCCCTCCCTTCGTGTGCGGCGAGACTCCTCACTCTTTAACGGCGTCGACGGGTTGGCGCAGTTAACGTCGTCTGCTTCACGTCTGCTAGTCAAAGTGACGGCTGCTTTACCTTTCCTGCGTCTGTCGGAGGTTCACCGCTTTTTCACCGGCGAGAGTCACCGTTGCCTCGGGAAACAAGGAGATAACAAGAGGAAGAAATTGACCTCTTAATCTAAAACTGAGGTCAGCGATCAATGTATAATACGGGAAGGGTTCACGAGGGTCGCGCGGGCATATTCCATTGAGCACATCAGCCGGTCGTGGGCAGACGGTCGCCGAGTCGCGGAATGCCTGCTAGGCCTAACTGCCGTGCTTGCTTGGTCGCGTTCGGTTGAATCGTGGCCGTTGGAGCTTTTCCCGGGTGTTTGTGGATCCAGCGTTCTTGTTCGTCGTGGTCTGTTTCAAGTACTTCTTACTTTTTTTCTTGCTGCTTGAAGTCGGGACGTGTGAGAAGCGCACGTAGAAAAATAAATGGCCGTGGGTCATTGCGACCGCGACGCTGTCGGCCATGCTGATTTGATCGTAAGAAGTGCGTAAGACAGCTTCGGGGCTGTCGTAGGATTTCGTCGTAACCTGCGCAAAACTTACGAAAATTTCGTTTCGTGAATACGTATTTGTTCATAAGTTTTGTCTTACGCACATTTTTGGCGTAAGAGCGTTTCGTGAATCTGGCCTCTGCACTTCCGAAAGTCGCAGGAAAGGTAAGACAGACGCAGACGACGTTGCGAGCAGACGACGTTGCAAAGGAGCAGACGACGCTCAGGTTGGGGATCGCAATCAGCCAATCAGGGCTCGGCGTTCTGACGTCACCGCTACCCCCTGCGCAACAAGCAGACGAACTTGCCCTCCGCATTGGCCAAACTCTCCCAATACACGGCTCTGGCATGTGGCCAACTTAGTCGGCCAACTCTACAGGCTTTCCTTCTCAAGGATATATCAAAGTTATAGTGAGTTCGTTTCACACGCACTGGCACCGTTCGAGTTCTCTCCCAGAATGCATCGCACTCACAGAGTGTTGCACGGAAAACTGGACTCAAACGAACTCGCCAAATGCACCGAGTGCAGAAGACTGACGCTGCCGCCATCTATGTTGTAGAAAAGGTACCGACTTCAAACCGAAACTAGCGCCTTTCTGTTCGGAATGATGCGTGGGAATGCGAGAATGCAGTCGGCTACCAACGTTTATCTACAAACGTTGGTCGCTGCAACCTGTAGTTTATAGTTGCGATAACTTCAAGCAGCTAGGCTGCCGTAGAGATAATTACAGACGGCGTAAATTTCCGGAACCAGCTGTCTACAAAGCAGCTGGTTGCGATCTTTCAATTCTTATAACCGTTTACACTGAAGAAAACTGATGATGCTGTCCGAGCAGAAGCTTGATCCGTTTGAGCATGGTATTATTCGTGAACCACTGAAAGGGTACGGCTTTTAAAACTAGCCTGTTGGAATATCCAGCAAAACTGGGACTTTCGATTTGGATCGTCAGGATTAGATATTAGCCTTGGTGAGGGTGTCGAGAACGAGAGCTTTCTCGAACAAAATATTACGGAGCAAGTTAGCTGACGTAGGTAAATGTTAAACATGGTGATGTTGCCCAATCCTCGGGTAAAATCTCCACCTTCAGCTTTCCCGAAGGAAAACTCCATCAATGTAACCCTGTTTGGCAGTCAATGTTTTCTAGTGGACCGCTGACTGTGCCTGACTGTACGTCAAGCATGTCTGATTGGCCAACAAGTTACTCTGACCGACAGACAAACTCCAGTCAGACTCTGCTTGTCGGCTTTCTGATGGTTTCCTGGTGGCAGTCGGCCGCCGCGAAATTCCATCAGGATGTCTTGGTGGCGATTCTGACTGTACATCGACTGTCTCTGACTGTACGTCAAAAAGCTTTGACGTGCAGACAGACGTACGGTCAAAGGACGTAAAGCTCGTTCGGACACCACTATTTCGTCAAATCTATGAATACGAAAAGTAATCTATGCACGAGAAAACGATTTCGGGACGTGAGCCCATAAAACCGCTGACGTTAGATATTTGACACGCAACCGACCGACAACCTTGATCAGAAGCCCGCCGAAGCGCCGAAAACGACACTTCGCTTCGCCCATAGAGGCTTCGCCGCTTCGCCGAGCTTTCATGAACGATCGCTCTCGACTCGTTTTGTTTGCCCGCTTGCTCCAACCTGTCGATCCTGCCAGGGTTCTACAATGACTTATGTTTTAGTAGAATTTCTACCCGACAAGACCCAGCCTGTTGTGAGTTCCGACGATGTAAGGGACTTTAGCGGTGTAGTTGAAGACGACAAGGTGTACCAGGTCTACTGGGCCGGTGACGCGCGAACAAAAGGATCGTTCTACGACGCGAAAGTATTCTACATGGCAGGTGAGTAGAACTGAAGTACGGCGAGTGATGTACGAGTGATGTACGAGTGATGTACGAGTGCTTTGCATAACATGCTGACGGCTTAACTGCATTTGCAGCCGAAGCATCTCGTATAAAACGATTACTGAAATCGAGTTTCAAAAACGGTTCCATGCATAGCGGTTACGGTGTGCGATTTGTACGGAAGTGGTCGCGGGTTCGAGTCCGCAGTTGTCCTGCTTTTTTTTCTTTTCTTTTTTTTTCTCGAACATTTTGTTTTGTCGAGGCATTTGGCGATATTTATGAGTGCGCATAGCTTTACTCTTATATAAATGCTGCCCTTGTTGATGAAATTCCTTTGGCAGGGGCAGTCAGACGTCATCTGATAGACCATCAGATGACGTCTGATGGTCCATCACGTTCCACCAAGGCTGCTGACTGGCAGTCAGTGTCCCAAATTACGTACCTTGATGGAATTTTAGAGCGCAGCTCTTAGGGGCCCGTTCCCGGCTTGAGCGGCGTCGCCGTCGCCGTCGCCGTCGGCGTAACCGCGCGGTGCATTATGGGTAAATTTCCCCGCTAAATCTAGCGGAAA